CCTCCAAGGAAAATGCTGCTTTTCCTCCAAGGAAAATGCTGCTTTTCCTCCAAGGAAAATGCTGCTTTTCCTCCAAGGAAAATGCTGCTTTTCCTCCAAGGAAAATGCTGCTTTTCCTCCAAGGAAAATGCTGCTTTTCCTGGCCTTTCCTCCAAGGAAATGCTGCTTTTCCTGGGATTTTCCTCCAAGGAAATCCTGCCTTTCCTGGCTGTTCCTCCAAGGAAAATCCTGCTTTTCCTCCGAGGAAAATGCTGCTTATCCTCCAAGGAAAATGCTGCTTTTCCTCCAAGGAAATGCTGCTTTTCCTCCAAGGAAAATCCTGCTTTTCCTCCAAGGAAATCCTGTCTTTTTTGGGTTTTCCTCCAAGGAAATCCTTCTTTTCCTCCAAGGAAAATCCTGCTTTTCCTCCAAGGAAATCCTGTCTTTTTTGGGTTTTCCTCCAAGGAAATCCTTCTTTTCCTCCAAGGAAATCCTGCTTTTCCCATTCCAAGGGCAGGGACACCTTCCAGCAGCCCAGGTTGCTCCAACACTTCCAGGGATGGACAATCCACAGCTTTAACCGCCCATGTGAATAAAACCCATCCCAGATTTCTGTCCTAAATTAAAATTGTTTTATTTGGGGATAGAAGTGACTCAAGACTGGAATAAAATAACAGTTGGGCTAGAAAAAAAAAAATTAAAAAAAACCCAAAAACCCTTCCAGCTGCTTCCATGCTGTTTGTCCCTTTTCATTAAAGCCATCTCTCTTTGTTTACTCGCTTCCAAACACGGCTAATTAAATCATCCGGGCCTCTCCGCTGCTCCAGCTCCGTGCTGCATTTTTGGAAATTCCCTCCAAGGCCTTGACGGGAGAGGGACGGCTTCCAGAGGGCAGGGCTGGGTGGAATTTGGGGCAGGAATTCTCCCTGAGTGTCCCTTGGAAGTGTCCCAGGCCGGGGGCTCGGAGCAGCCTGGGGCGCTGGGAGTTGTCCCGCCCTTGCTTTAAAACCCCTTCCCATCGAAATTTGTAGGATTTCCTGCAGGGAATGGGGTGGTGTCCATGCCCACCCCAGTGCTGCTTCCTGACGTTCCTATCAAGCTGGAACACGGGGGGCAGAGTCCTTCAATCCCCCCAGGAACTCAAGCCAAGGCAAAGCTTTCCCCGCCATGCGTCCGTCCCAAACGTGTTGGGACGTGTTGAAGGACAGCTGGGGTGTTTTGTGGGAATGATTGTCCCACGTTTACAGCTTTCCAAGTTGCGTTGTTGTCGAAAGTCTGCTGTGGGCTGTAAATACGTTCCCGGGTAAAAATATCCCAGTTACCAAATTCCGAAGGACGACAGTTGCCACGCTCCGGTGGTGCCTTGGGAAGCGGCTCGGAGCCACGGCGGGTGGAGAGGTCCCACCTCTGTTTGTTCCCACCTCTGTTTGTTCCCACCTCCCGACAGGGATGAATATTCCAACGGGGTCTTCCGACATCTTCCAGGGAGATGTGGTTGAATTTATCCTTCCGTCATTTATTCCTTTCAGAAGACGTTCGTATGGATAATTTAATTCTTAATGACCCGTCGGTTGAAAAAGTACAGAATGTGCTCCAAACACCTCGGAGAAAGAGGGGGTTTCTCTCCCAGCTGGAATTCCAGAGGTGTTCTATGATTAGGAGATGATCTGAAGCCAGGAGAAAAGGGAGCAGATGCTGCCGGAGCAAAGGGCAGAGCTCAGAGGTAGGAGATGAAGGAGCCTTCAAGGCTTCCTCCTAGAGATGTTCCCTCTCCTCCCGTCCCTGCTCCCTGGGAGCGGAGCCCAATCCCCACCCGGTTCCTTCCTCCTCAGGGAGAGAGGAAGATGATTGGAATCCAACTCGGGTTATTCCCAGCAGGAATTCTGCACTGCAATCCACATCCGGGAGCGTTTTGTTGGTAGCATCATCCCAGAACATCCTGATTCACAGGCTCCCCGGACAGCAGAAATTCGGGAATTTGTTTATTCTCCAGCTCAGTGCACGTTTCTCCCAGCAAGGGGACAAAGCTAAAATAAGAAAGTCCCCTCTGACTCTTGGGAGCCCTCTCAGCCATCCCAGTTATGGAATGTTTTGGGCTGGAAGGGTTTGAAGGAGCGGGGACAACTCCAGGTTGGAATTCCACCTTCTCCTCCACAGCAGGGACTTGCAGGGAGCAAGGAGGACTTGGGGAAAAAACTGGTTCAAGGCTGGAATTCTGGGATGCAGCACAAAATCCATGGCCTGGAAAAAAATAGCTGTGTTTGGCTCCTGGGACAATGTGGGGGAATGATGAGCTCACCCCCAGGAGCACAATGGAATTCTTTGTTGGGAACACGGCATGGGGGAACAGTTCAGGTTTGTTTACGCTGCTGCTCTTTCGGAGCGGTGTCTCCAACTCTCCGTGGATATTTGTGGAAGCTTTGGAAATTCAGGCAGAAAATGAAATGCCTGTTTAATTGCAGAAGTGAATTTTCTAAGTATTTGAGGCCTTCATCCCATCCTTCTTCCACATCACCTCCCTGCCTGTTGTTTTGGGCTTTTCTTCTCATGTCCTGATGATATTTAGAGCAAAACCTTCAAAAAAAGATTGGATCAATGGATGTGCATTTTAAATTTTCCAGTCCTTTAGCTTATCAAATATCCAGGTTTCTTCTTCCCTTGATCTTCCTCTTTAATCCCTCTTCTGTATTTTGTTGAGCTTGGTTTTTTTTCATGTAGTTTTTCAACCTAATACTCGGATAAATCCAAGTTCTTTTGAAGAGCAAAACAGCAGGAAAGGTCTCAATCCACCAACCAGGCGCGTTGAAATTAATTGGGATTAGCAGCCCCAGTTTAAGGTGTTTTTGGGAAGCAGCAATCCCAAAGTGCCTGTTTATCCTGCTGAGATAGGATAATAATCAGCAGGCTCGGATCTACCCCACCCTCCTTGGTTTTGACACAATTCCTGCAAATCCCGTTGGGGATTCGGGGATCATCTCGCTCCGGGCTCAACTGGAAGGGTTCTGGGGTTTGGATCAGCCTGGGACAGCGGGAGCTGTGGGGTGAGATGATCCTTCAGTCCCTCCTAACCCATCACTGGTGATCCTTGAAGCCCCACCTTCTTTACGGCAGATTTCCCGAGGAGAATTCCCAAACCCGCCGTGACGAGGTCTGTCCCAACCTTGACCTTGTGAAGCTCTCCATATCCCAGCTGAAAATGGAGAATGTTGCAAAAATCCTGCTTTTTCCTCCAGCTGGAGCCTGCTTTGTTCTGGATCCATCTGTGCTTTCTCCTCCTTTTCCTGTGGAGCTCAGCTCGAGCTGGAGCACCTGGAATTGGAGAATCCAGCCGGGTTCCTCAAGTGTTTTCTCCTCCTTTCCCTGTGGAGCTCAGCTCGAGCTGGAGCACCTGGAACTGGAGAATCCAGCCCGGTTACTCAAGTGTTTTCTCCTCCTTTTCCTGTGGAGCTCAGCTCGAGCACCTGGAATTGGAGAATCCAGCCCGGTTACTCAAGTGTTTTCTCCTCCTTTTCCTCTGGAGCTCAGCTCGAGCTGGAGCACCTGGAATTGGAGAATCCAGCCCGGTTACTCAAGTGTTTTCTCCTCCTTTTCCTGTGGAGCTCAGCTGGAGCACCTGGAATTGGAATTGGAGAATCCAGCCGGGTTCCTTCAGGGCTGCTGTTCCTGGGCCGCATTAAAGCCGGAGCCGCCTCCTCTGCCCATCCCCAAAGATTGTTTTAATGAGAACTAAAGGGCCTTTTTCCAATTACCAGGGAATAACTGGATTAAGTTCCTGGGTTATGTCAACCTGCTTGGATTTGATTAGGGACAAAGAAATGGATTTATCCGTCAGGGTTACTTCATTAGGGCTCCTCACTGATGCTTCGCAGAGGGTCGGCAGCGCTTGGCGCTTTTCGGGTGAAATCCCAGGAAAATTGGGGTGCGACTGCTGGAAATGTGGCTCGAATCCCGGCGTGCCCCTTCCAAAGGAGGTCGGGGACCTTCAGGGAATCCCTCCCTCTGAGGGGGATGGCACTGGCCATGGAACTGCCCCATGGAACTGCCCCATCCCTGGAAGTGTCCCCGCTCCGGAGGAAGGTTCCCACGCAGTGTTGGATAATCCCTGCAATCCCTTCCAGCCCGAGGGTCTGTGATGCGTTTCCAGAATCCCTCCAAGTGGAAGCCCTCGTGCTCCTGCTGGCTTTGGGAGCCGTGCTCCGGGGTGGGGCGCTGCCCATCGGAACCCCCGGGAGAACATCCCGTGATTTCGAGCGGGACACCCGTCGGGGCTCCCCGGAGTTAATTGGCTGTTACATAACACAACTGATTTTTAAAAATCCGCCTAATTAACCTAATGGAATGGTTGATCGGATCTGTCAGGTAAATGATCCACAGTTTCTTTCTAATTAAATATTTACCTCCGAGTGTCTCGTGCTATTAACGCGTCCATCCATTACGGAGAGAATAGAAATCCTAATTGGGGGAAAGAATTAAACCCAGTGAAAGTGTCAGGTGTGGAATCTTGGAAAAGCCCCGGATTCGTTCTCGGCACCCGCTCTGGACCTTCTCCCTTCCTCCAGCTGCGATTCCCACTGATCCTAGGGTTTCACCTAAAAATAAGCAGGGAAGCGTTCCAGGCCAGGTGGGACAGTCAAAGGTGCCTGGAACTTCTTGATCCTTAAAATCCCTTCCATCCCATGAAAACCTCAGGAGGAATTCTGGGAACCACGTCAGCTCTGTCCTCCCCAAGCGTCCGTCAGTCCCCGGACGCCGGGGCGGGATGGGAGCCGCTGGCTGTGGAGGCAGCGGGCCGGGAATTGCGCCGCTCGGAGCTCAGCGTTCCCGAGGGTCCGGCTCCTTCCCGCCGTGAATTTCAATGAGTTCCTTTCAGCCGGGGGAGGGTCAGGAGCCACTTCCTGGCCTCGGCTCCTTCTTCTTAATTAAAGGCACCGGGAGATTAATTCGAAGCGTTAATTTCCCAGTGCCCTCGCAAAAGGCGGGAATGATTTCCACGAAGCCCTAAAGAACTTTTTTGTCCCCAGATGTAGAAGACAGAACTAGCTCAGGGTCCTGGGGGAATGCAGGACATCCAAGTCCATCCAGGGTAAGTAGAATCTAATCTTTATCCCCCAGCCACGCTTCCTGCAGATCCTGGAGCCGAGGCGGCCTCGGAGCGTGCGGAAAAGCCGGCCCGGGAACTCGCGTTCTCATTAAAATGGCTCCTTTGAACGTTTCCATTTTTGGCTGGGCTTGGCTCCGGGAGAAGCCCAGCGAGGGGGTGGAACGAGATGATCCGTAAGGTCCCTTCCAACCCAAAGCGTTCCGTGATTTCTGTGCGTATTAACGAGCCAATTAGTGACGGGGTCTGTCAGCACACCCCACCCCCACCCCAAAGCGCGGCTGCTTCCCGGTGTTTCGCCCTCTGCCCTCGGAGTTTTGGGGATTTTTGGGGATTGCAGGTGAGGGCCAGCGCCCGTCCCTCTGCTGGGGCTTGCATTCCCTGGCCACTCCATGACCAAACCGGAGAGGGGACACCAAGATTGTCACCGGAGCAGCCACCTCGGCTGCAATTTGGGGAATTTTGGCACATCCCCTGAGCCCACCTCTGCTCCAGGCCACCTCCCGTGCTCTCAGGAGCAGAATTCCCTGGGGGAAAGTGGAATCTGGGAGCCAGCTGGGCCCAGTCAGTTCAATTGCTCCCGTGGACAGTTATCCACATTTTTTTGACACCTCGGGATGGGGATGCCTCGGTGGGAAGAGCAGCTTTTCCAGCAGCACAGCTGGATCCTCCCGAGGTGGAAGCAGCTCCGTTCCCAACTGGAGCATCCCAGCTCTGCCCTGGGCACGGCTCCGCTGATTGTTCCCTCCAAACGCACGCGAGGAGCAAAAAGTGCCTTCCTCTGCCCTTATTTAAATTTCTTTCAATGGCTTCTTAATCGTTTCCCAATTAACTTGAAGCATGGGGACTCTGGCAGCTCCAGGCCCTGGAACGGCGAGGAAGAGCAGGATCTTCATCCCCCTCCTCGCCCTCAACGCGTGTCCCTTCCCCTGGGGGCGGCCCAAGGGGAGCCCTCATTTCCCCATGCCCTGCCTCGAGGAAGGAATCCCAGCACCTTTTCTTCTTGCGTCCTGCTTTGCATCCCTGACGTCATTCCCGGCTTCCATCTGTCAGTTTGATTTTCCTGCCCTTTTTTTTCCCCTTGACACTTGTATTGCTTCCGAGGGAAAAATGTTTTGAAAAGGAAATCGGGAATTGGCACACACCGATTATTTCTGCCTCCAAACCCCTGAATGAAGTGGGGAGATAGAAAGAAAAGGAGCACGAGCCTGGGAAGGATTCGGGAATTTGAATCGAGGCCGGGCATTAAGTCGCGGAATTATTCCGCAAACAGCCTGACCTCGCTTTTTCCTGCTGGAATGGAATTCCCACAGCGGGAGACCTGCTTCCTCCAGAGGCTTTCTTCCATGCTTTAAGCAGGACACTCTTCCCGGAGGGTTTTGTGCTGATTCGCCCCACGCGGGATTTCGGGAATCTCATCCCGCGCCTCCGGTCAGGATTCTCGCTCTGAGCTGAGCGTTGGAAACGGCGCCAAAAACTCTCCGGAATGTTTCGTTCCGGCCCATCAGCAGGGAAAAAAAAACCCCAAGGGAGTGATGTTTCTTTGAGCAGCCTTCAGACTGAGTAGGGAGATCTGGACTTTTGGTGTGGACGAGGCTGTTCCGAGGTGTAAAATTGTGTTTTTTCCCGATTTCTTGCCAGAACTATGGAGATGGGACTCACTATGACCACATGGCGAGCAGAGACCTCGGCTCACATGACAATCTCTCTCCTCCCTTTGTCAATTCCAGAATACAAAGTAAGAACATGGAATTTCCTCCCTGATTGGGGTGGGGGAAGTGGGATCAATGGACGAGAAATAAAATCCGGGGGCCTTCAAGCCCTCATCCTCATTTTTTGGGCTCGGCGTGAGGGTGGGAGCAGGGATTTGTTTCAGTTTTCCATTTTTTTTAATGGTGTGAAAAAAGTGCTGTGATGACATTTAGTATTTTATATCCATTTCACCTCTACTTTATGTTTTGTATCTATAACTCTATTTCATGCTGGATTCGTGATGCAAAATCAGTTTGGCTTTTTCCTTGGACACACTTGGAATGGGATTTTTAAAGCAGGAAAAGCTTTCTGAAATCCTAATAAATAAATCCCAAAGGGAGCAGAGAAATAGAAGGTGGGGGACGCTGGGAACGTTGTTTGGAGTGGGAGGGAGGTGTCCAAGGAACTCAGGGCAGGGTCAGCCAGCAGGAGATCCGTTCCAACCGGAATGATCCCAGGATTGTGTGCTAGAGCTTTATGATGGAGCCATTGCTCCGTTCTTTAATTAAGGTTGATCAAAGTAAATAAACGATGTCAAAGCTGGAGCTTGCGACACTCCCTCGGGGCACGGGGCTGGGAGCAGCACGGAGGCAAGGCGGGAAGAACGAGTTCCAAAGTTCCTGAGGAGGAGTTTGGGAAGTGCCTGATGTTTCTGCAAGGTCCTGCTCCGTGGCTTCGGAGGGCTTTTCCCAGTTGTGGCTCCCTGTGGATGTGGGATGGGGGCAGCAGCACCCAGGGAATCACAGTGGCAATGGGAATGACAATGGCAATGGGAATGGGAATGGGAATGGCAGTGGCAGTGACAATGGCGTGGGAATGGCAATGGCAATGGGAATGCAATGGCAGTGGGAATGGCAGTGGCAGTGGGAATGGCAGTGGCAGTGGCAATGGCAATGGCAGTGGGAATGGGAATGCAATGGCAATGGCAGTGACAATGGCAATGGCAATGGGCATGGCAATGGCAGTGGGAATGGGAATGGGCAATGGCAATGGCAGTGACAATGGCAGTGATAATGGTGGTGGGAATGACAGTGGCAATGGGAATGCAATAGCAGTAGGAATGGCAGTAGGAATGGCAGTGGCAATGGCAATGGGAATGACAATGGCAATGGCAATGGGAATGGCAATGGCAGTGGGATTGGCGGTGGGAATGGCAGTGGCAATGGCAGTGGCAATGGGAATGACAATGGCAATGGGAATGGGAATGGGCAATGGCAATGGCAGTGACAATGGCGTGGGAGTTGGAATGACAGTGGCAATGGTAGTGACAATGGCAATGGCAATGGGCATGGCAATGGCAATGGCAGTGACAATGGTGGTGGGAATGACAGTGGCAATGGGAATGCAATAGCAGTAGGAATGGCAGTAGGAATGGCAGTGGCAATGGCAATGGGAATGACAATGGCAGTGGCAATGGCAATGGCAATGACAGTGACAATGGCGGTGGGAATGGCAGTGGCAATGGGAATGACAATGGCAGTGGGATTGGCAGTAGGAATGGCAGTGGCAATGGCAGTGGCAATGGGAATGACAATGGCAATGGGAATGGGAATGGGCAATGGCAATGGCAGTGACAATGGCGTGGGAGTTGGAATGACAGTGGCAATGGTAGTGACAATGGCAATGGCAATGGCAATGGGCATGGCAATGGCAATGGCAGTGACAATGACAATGGTAATGGCAGTGGCAATGGAATGGATTGTTAATGGCAATGGCAGTGGCAATGGCAATGGCAGTGACAATGGCAGTGACAATGGCAATGGGATGGCAATGGAATGGATTGTTAATGTCAATGGCAGTGGCAATGGGAATTACAGTGGCAATGATAGTGACAATGGCAATGGCAGTGACAATGGAATGGATTGTTAATGGCAATGGCAGTGACAATGGCAATGGCAGTGGCAGTGGCAATGGCAATGGCAGTGACAATGACAATGGCAGTGGCAATGGCAATGGCAGTGACAATGGCCATGGCAATGGCAAAGGAATGGATTCAGGCTGATGGAATGACGAAGGCCGGAAAAGAGGGCACTGAGTCCAGGCAAGGCCACCACTACTGCTGTGTGACAATGGTAATGTCAATGTCAGTGGCAATGGCAGTGACAATGGCAATGGCAGTGGCAATGGCAATGGAGTTAATGTCAATAGCAGTGGCAATGACAGTGACAATGGCCATGGCAGTGACAATGACAATGGCAATGGCAGTGGCAGTGGCAATGACAATGTCAGTGGCAATGGGAATGGCAGTGGCAATGGCAATAGCAGTGGCAATGGAATGGATTCAGGCTGATGGAATTACAAAGACTGGAAAAGAGGGCACTGAGTCCAGGCAAGGCCACCACTACTGCTGTCCCCAGGTCCAGCATGTGGCACTTGTCACTGCCACTCCCGTCCCCTCTGCGAGGGATTCCACCCCTTAATCCCCTCCCAACAAGGCCCACCTTGCTTTGTGGCCCCGTGGCGGAGCCTTGTCCTGCAGGGACGTCCCCGGGAGCACGGGGACACCGGGAGTGGCACCAAGTGGATCCATGCAGGCTCTGGGAATATTCCTTCATTCCAGTTCTTCACAATTCCTCGCTTTGCTGACCAGGAATATTTGGGTTTGTGCTTCCGAGCGCTCCGAGAACCCGAATTTCCCCCGGCTGTTCCTCGGCTGTGCCCGTTTTTAATGGGATTTTCCCGGTCTCGGGTGGAACGTCGCCACTTCCCGTGCTTTTCATCCCTGGCAGCTTTGATTCCGTTCCTGTTATTACGAGCAGAACTGGAATTTTTTGCAGATTAGTGAAGTTTACCCGACGCGCCATTAAAAGGGCCTCGCTTTCAATCTCTTCAACCGTAAACATTTGGGATGAAATTTTCCATGCTGTGGATCTGACTCAGCCCGCTCCGTATTTTTTTTTAACCTTCTGCAGGAACGATTTCAACATTTCCTCAAATGGGATTACATTTCAGCCTGGCAGATTTGGGATTTTCTCCCTCGGTGTCTGGCACGGCGGGAACATTAATTCCTTTTTCACACCACCTCTGTTACGGCAGCTGCAAAATGCAAAAAGGGACACGGGAGGGGAACGACCAAAACTGTCCAGGAATTTCAGGGATTGGGCTTGCAGCGACTCCACCGAGCCGTGGAGTCAGGGAATGGTTTGGGATTTTAAGGATCACCCCATTTGGGCACTTCCAAATCCTCCCCGTCCTCCCAAACCCAAACCCCCGCGCGTTTTCCAGTCAAGCAGAACCATGCGAGGGTGCTTGAAACCATCCACAAAAGGCAGAGACGTAAAAAAAAAAATTCCCATTCCCAATCAAGAGTTAATGGATTTGTAAGTGCTGCCAGTCAGGATTCCGAGCTCGGCGTTCAACTCGCGGAGAAAAGAAATGACAAGGACATCTCCATTTCTTTTGGGAAGCAGCGGCAGATGTATAAATAGAAACTGTCGACCGTGGCAATTCGTGTGCGGGAGAGGAGCCTTGAAATATGAGTTTGTCCTCCAGACTTTGCAGGGAAGTTTACATTCCTTGGCCTTTGTGCTTAAACAGCTCCCAGCGTTCGGAAGGAGTTCTTTCTTGTGACAACCTGGAGTCGTCATCTCTGGAGGCACAGGAGCACCTCCTGTCCCTAATCCGGACTCCTGTCCTTAATTCTGGGCTCCTGTCCCTAATCCAGAGCCTCCTGTCCCTAATCCGGACTCCAGTTCTTGATTCTGGGCTCCTGTCCTTAATCCCGGACTCCTGTTCTTGATTCTGGGCTCCTGTCCCTAATCCAGACTCCTGTCGTTAATTCTGGGCTCCTGTCCTTAATTCTGGGCTCCTGTCCCTAATCCAGACTCCTGTCATTAATTCTGGGCTCCTGTCCCTAAACCGGACTCCTGTTCTTGATTCTGGGCTCCTGTCCTTAATTCTGGGCTCCTGTCCCTAATCCAGACTCGTGTCCATAATTCTGGGATCCTGAAAAAAAAAAAAACAAAAAGTTCTTGATTCTGGACTCCTGTCCCTAATCCGGACTCCAGTTCTTGATTCTGGGCTCCTGTCCTTAATTCTGGGCTCCTGTCCTTAATTTTGGGCTCCTGTTCTTGATTCTGGGCTCCTGTCCATAATCCTGGACTCCTGTCCTTAATTCTGGGATCCTGATCAAAATCCCAAACTCCTGCCCACAATCCCAAACTCCTGTTCACAATCCCAACCTCCTGTCCACAATCCCAAACTCCTGTTCACAATCCCAAACTCCTGCCCACAATCCCAAACTCCTGTCCACAATCCCAAACTCCAGCCCACAATCCCAAACTCCTGCCCACAATCCCAAACTCCTGTTCATGCTCCCAAATTCCTGTTCACAATCCCAAACTCCTGCCCACAATCCCAAACTCCTGCCCACAATCCCAAACTCCTGCCCACAATCCCAAACTCCTGCCCACAATCCCAAACTCCTGCCCACAATCCCAAACTCCTGCCCACAATCCCAAACTCCTGCCCACAATCCCAAACTCCTGCCCACAATCCCAAACTCCTG